GTCCCTGCCCGGCCCAACAATGGGCGTAGCTGTTGGGATACCACTGACCGCATTATTACTTGTTGTTGGCGTGATCTGGGCCCTCAGAGAAAGACGATGGAGACTTAAATACCAGCAGATGCAAAGGCACGAGCTCAGAAAAGAGCATGAGCATCAACCGCCTAGCTTTGAGCCTAGCGGATCAGGTATTTCTGAGGTTTCGGCAATCCGAAGACCAGCCGAGTTGGAGTCGAGGGATCACTGGTAGTCGTATGAGCTTTTTCTTCCTAACTTTGTGATGATATCATGCCGAATGTGTACACCTAAGTCGAGGATCTTTTTCTCATTGAGGATAATTTGGGTTGGACAAGGGCAGTGACTTTCTTAGAGCAACCGTATACTCTTGAGATTTCCAAGATATCCAGCTTGGGTGTCTGACCTGGTGAGAAGCTGGACCCAGGCCCCGCTGGGAACTAAAGGAGGTCCTCAGATCTCCTCCTTGGCTTGTATGAGCTGTGGAGCATCTGTCTGCCGGCATGGCTTGCTTGCCGTAGTTTTCCGGCGGCGTTTTTTAAGAACAATTAAAGGGGAAGAAAGATGAGCAAGTCAGCTGCCGACCTTTGGGAGCTATACTCGGGAATCATTGCTTCTTTAAGCACAACCTTCCTTCCTGTAGGCCCCCTGTGGCGACAAAAAAGAAGTCCAAATTAAGACCACGTTTGCATTGAAAATGTCTTTGAGCGTTTACCAATGTGTGAAAGATTGCCTGTACTATTAGAGCAAATATACGGATTAAAAATGAAACCACCCTCAAAAAATGAAACCATTTATTCGAGTTTGCATTGAAATACGTTTAGAAGAGTGATTCTCGACATATTTTGACCGCATGAGCAAGTTTCTCAATGACGGCGAGATGGTCACTGTCACAGTTACGTTTTACTACGAGCCTGTGGATGCTGGCAAGTCTGGAAGGGAAGGGGGCGACAGCCAACCAGGAAGCAGACTTGGAAGCCAGAACTGCTGAGTTAGGTCGTAGCGCATGCATCAGGAAGGCTTACTTTCTCATGCGTTGTCCTGGTAGGCCATGAACAAAAGGAGATCACTGCTGGCAGAACAAGGGCAAACATTACCGTCTCCTACCATACCACATAAGGATGCTCGCCGATTACGTCTACATTAGGCTAGCAGGCCCTTGAATGGGCATGATGATGTACCAGAGTCATTCCGTCGACTTGTCCTAGACGATTACCGCGAGCGGGAAGACAGGGAGCGTAAAGAATCGGAAAGGTCGCGACAACGCAAGCGGAGGCGGCGTGATTCAGACCACTCATCGTCCGACGAATTGGTTGTGCGATGTTTTCGGTATGCAAACAGCCCTGCCAAATCTCCCGTGATGGTGTTTCCGTCGCCTCCCTTGCTAGAGTTGAATATGCCTAGGGAAGATGCCGTCACGGCTTACAGTACCTGGCAGCAGTGCCAAGTTAGCACCACCGAGCAGAAGGAGCACTATAATACGTTCCTGGAACTGACCTTGGCGCATTGTTATGACTTGGACATACTGGCAGCCAATCAGGAACAGATGTATCAGCTCTACATACGGTATGGGATACCTGCAGGCGTTGCCTGGCGCTATGTACCTCAATATTTCACTCGCGAACCTTCTTTGCCAAAGGAATCATACTCAAAAATAATCCTATAGGTGCTACCGCTCAACTCCGGCCCTTGCCTGGCAGAACTGTTATAAATGTGCAGTTCATTCATGTTCCTTGCCGTCGGCAGGGCCGCCCGGACGTTTCTCGAGGTGATGCATGTCTGGGCTGGCACCAAGTCCTTCACGATTGCTCGAATGCGACCACCTCCATCCGGTGCACGACGGAGCTCATCGCCGAGAATGTCCGTCCCAAGATCGAGTCCCGACGTTTTCGCCACGCCGCGGAGCGTCAATCAGCCGGACCTCGAAGACGACCTTGTCGGCGGTCCTCGTCATGCTAGCTGTCACTCCGCCCGTGGCTGTGAGGTCCAGGAGACCCGTCATCAAGCGCGCCTCTTGGTCCCCGACTGACTTTGAAACTTCTCCCGTAATGCCTGGACCTTGTTGTTCCAGTCTTTGATCAGACCATTGTGTACTATGTTCCCTGCAGGCTCCAAAGTGTTCTCCCTTCTTATGAGGTAGTGCAACTCGCCGTGCTTGACTTTTTCTCCAACGATTTCAGAATCCGTCAATGATACAGCGTTATGTGGAGAATTCGTTGGACAAGCTTTCCCCTTGATCCAATAATAACCGTCCACCGCCAATGAAATACAAACCTTCTCCCGTAGAGCTCAGCAAGTATTGGAGGGAGCGGGTACAGGTTGGTTTCGCCAGCAAGGCTATTGCGAGGTTGGGGAGGCATGGAAAGCCAAATGGAGACAGGGCTATCGTTGTTGGGAACCGGAATGACTCCGCCGTCATGGCAGCAAACTGGCCGGAAACTAAGCCTTTCTTATTGACCATGACCTTCAAATTTCAATTCACACTTTTCTGTCACGATCAATCATGATTGCAGCCACTGAATACGCTACTACCCAAAATTGAATGTCCATCAACAACAATAGCCTTAAGCTTAAGCTCCGACCTATGAAACATTGCACACATCAGAACCATCTGTTTCTGTGATGGAGGACCTGACTTACCGTCGAAACTTTTCTTCACGCAGACTTGTTGGGCTTTCCGCACGGTTCATTTCGCATTGTATCCCATCGACGGATCGCGTCGAGAGACTGTTTTGGTCTCCGCCGTATGTCTGACTACCCGACTATCACTCTTGAGCTTCTTGTTAAGAGCTGGTCTCCCTAATATCCAGTCCAGTGTTAGCATAGGTGTCAAAGTGTAATCTTTCTCCTACGCGGTCCCTTTATACTTTATACGTTAAATAACATCAAGAAGATCTCACACGCGTGCAGCTCCAGTACGAGTTTCGTCACTCGCTTACTTCCCCGCGTAGCTGCCGTCAATGACAGACATTTCGGACTCGATATCGGGGGGGATTGAGATTGGCTGGCGAAACGGTATGCAGGCTGTCTGCTACTGGCGAGATTATGACTGCTGAGAGCCTCTCCAACTCATCATTATTGGGTTCTATACCTTTGGCCACCGTATGCCGGGGAATGAAATTCCCTCCGGAGACCGGTAACGTCCCCGGCCCGGCTTCCGCCCCCCCCCTGATTCCGCCCCCTTCCCTCACGACCGCCCCCTTCGCCTCGTCGCCGACGACGCCGCCACCACGATAGTTGACCTCGCTTCCGATGGTGTTTCCGACTCTTCTGAAGCGTCGCTTTCTTCTGATACCACCCCCGCTTCAATCTGAGTCCTCCGAATGGCCTCGATATCGGCGAAAAGTTCATTCGGGTCAAGTTGAACCTTCTTCCTTCGGACTACCCTACTGGCTTCAATCTGGGCTTCCAACTCTCGGGCTTTTTGTGAGGACATCGTCAGATCGACGTCTATCTGGTCCCAACTTTTGAGGATTTTCCTGAAGAGGAGTCGTGATGTGGGGCTGAGATTCTTCTGACGGGCATACCGAGCCACCATACCCCTTAGGTCTTGAGATCGCTTAGGGGTCGCAAAAATGGTCCCTCGAGGCCGACAAAAACACTTATCAGTGCAGAAATGGCTGCTGGAGCTATTGGTACCGCCAGATTCCAACGATCTCGCTTCCTTCTCGCGATTATCGGCGATAAAGTGGCTTCCGAGTGCCCTATGCTTAGACACTGGCCAGAGACCAGTCGCCCGCCAGCCAGAACGTATATTTGCTTCCGTCAAAGTGTCAATTCGAGCCTTGTGATAGCAATAAAGAAACCGTTTCTTTGCCACGACTGTTGACGAATCGTGCCCTCCCTGGTGATCGAGATGCTTCTTAAATGCGAGCTTTAGAGGGCCGAAGATCGCCACATCGAGCGGTTGCAGCATATGCGAAGTATGGGCGGGCAAAAAAACGATATACACCTTATTCGAGAAGCATTCCCACATAAACTCGACCGTTGTATGTGTATGGTGCCCATCGATCACGAGAAGGCGCCATTCTAATGGGTCCTCTGGTACTGTTTGAGGAAGGAAGACCTTCCGAAGCCAGTGGATAGCGATAGGTTCCTCCATCCACCCCTTCTTCGTCGCCGTGAACTGCCAGCCCTCGTGATCTTCAAGGGCGATAGGAAACCACTGCTGCTGAATGCTGAGTCCCTTAAAAATAACGAGTGGGACGAGGAACTTGCCCGTGGCGGAGATACACTCAAGGAAGAAGGTCCACGCTCTCGAATTAAAGTCCTTCTGAAGAAGCTGGCTTCCTTCCGAATAGCCGATTGTAAGCGCCTTCTCGGACTTGCCCTCCATCAGCCCGCCCTCGTCGGCATTCCATCGGTTGGCCGGCTTAATTGCCTTCACGATAGGCAACTGCATGAAGTCAAACCACGACCCAACGTTCTTTTTGGTAGCTGCCCTTAGCCGTTTAGCCTCAACGCGCTGGTACTTACGGCTTTGGAGGATAGGGTAACGAAGGAGGAAGGCCCTCAGCCACTTCCTTCCGAGAGGAGCAACCTCCTTCCCCGACGAGGCCATTCGGGCTGCCAGAGCCCTCGTTTCCCAGCGAGTTAACGCATGGCCCAAGCTGCTTTGGTTGATAAGGAATAGGGCCAATCGATCCTCCTGATCATCAGAAAGAGGCCTCTGAGGTTCGTGAGAAACGCGCTGACTTTGCGCGCCGGCGAGGCGATCGCGAAGTGTGGAACGGGGGATATGCCAGGTCCTGCAAGCCTGCTTGACGGGCATTCCATCCCTGCACGCAACAAGGGCGTCATGGATCTCGGCTTCCCCATAGGGCTTCATGATGACTAGGTTGATGCTTGGAAGAAGTTTGGTGACCAGAAAAAATTCTCTCGGAAAGATATGGTTGAGTTTATATAGGGTGGGGGCAGACGCGTACACGCGTGAACGCGGATGTGGGGGGGGCGGAATCAGGGGGGGGGCGGAAGCCGGGCCGGGGACGTTAGTCACATGGATTCGAACCGATATCTCTTTCCGTGACAAGGAAATACTCTACCAATTGAGTTACTAATTCTAGGAGACAAGAGATTCGAATTCTTAAAAGCGATAGCTATTAACTTTACAGCTCGACCCTCCTTACCAATAAAGGAACCAGCACCTGCGTTGAGAGAATAGGGCAACGTCGGAGATTGACACACCACGAAGTAGCTGTTAGATGGTGGTTTCCGACTTTGTTAGTTCGTAATTGCCTAAAAGGATACATGTAAACCATATAGATTGCAAATGTGTACGTGTTCTCAGAGAAGAAACCTGAACTAGTGGTGGTATTCTATAGGAGGTGCGTAATTCAACTGCTCATACTAGAGTGGGCTGAACTGCTTGCGCTGGAAGGCGCCCCACGCTAGCAACGAAGCCGTAAGAAGCCAATACCGGAGAACCTCTAGTGAACTCTAGTGAACTCTTGTAAGCCATTGTCGTGGCTATCCTTGCAAAATACCGTTCTGAGTTACACCTAGTTCTTTCTGAGGCTACTCCTTTCCGCTTCCGTGTTGCAAAGTCTCCGGGTTGTGCGAGACCTTGTGCCCGTGCTGATCCGTGAAAGTAACCTGCAGAGGGTTAGTTAACACGTGGAACATCACTGGAGATTTTTTTTTGGGGGGGCCGGTCCGGTTCACCTTGGGTGGATTCTTTACTGCTGCTTCGCGAGCATCTTGTTCGGTAACATCAACTCTTTCCACTTGTCCTTCCCGTTTACCGCCTCGAAAATTAGTCCAGACGTGATCCCCTTCTTTGATTGCTTGCGAGTTCTTGTCTCGGACTTGACGCGACATTTTCTTGTCACTAGGTCGGGTGAAGTCAAGAATTATTACAACGGTTAGTTCATCAGATAATACGCATGAGCCGTGTCATAGGTCTCTTTAAGTATAACTTGATTCCCTCGGAGCGATCGTCATGACGATTTTCGTTGGCTCTAATGTTTACGTCACGCTGTCGCAATATTGATCTGGTGATTCGCTAGCATGTGAATACTTTATCAACACGTAAGTATTCGTGCAAAAGGCTATCAGCTAGGGGAAGTGTGTTGGGAAGGCTTTGAAGCTCCTCGCAAGTGTCGTGCTGCGATGCGCCAAGTGAACGCAGTTCCCTCGCTCAGGTTCGATCAGGCTTAGGGGGACAGCAACGGGTCTGGAACGCCGGCACTGAGGCAATCGACCCCGGCGTTTGCATTGCAGGAGGCTTACCAACCCTGATGCTGGTTCTCACCTGGGCTGAGTATATATGGATGGGAAGCATCTTGTCAATTAACTCAAAATCAGAATTAAGATGTCGGTAGGTGCAAATGCTCCGGAAGATTGGCCCGTGGCACGGAGTGTTTCCGTAAACACACAACGCTTAGCAATCTCGACAAGGATAAAATCTTCAGCAATCTACGGAGTAAAGTACGCAAGGATGCTTTAATGTTAATTGGTGCCTGTTCACGTGCTGATCCATTCTTAACAAAGCCAGTTCGTACCAAGTTAACATTTAGATATCCTTATGTAGGTACTGGAGGAGCTTAATGGCAAGATGTCATGTTTGATAATGGTACCAAGATTCCACTGTCGATCCTACGTCACAGCGTGCCTTAGATCGAAGCTGTCGCTACATATGTTCAGACCTGCGAACGCGATGCGCCTCCTCTTCCTTACTAGTACTACCAGATTCTCAACATGCATTACTCAAGAGAATTCGCTCGCGGATGCGCGAGCAATGCCCCAGTCCCGCAAAGGGCGAGGGACCATTCGTATGTACCATGTCTGATTGGCCCCGGAGAAGGTCCCGGGCGGAGTGGCGAGGCTGATAAAGATGCCGATGAGATCAACCCACCTAGCAACCGGAAAATCGAGGGCTGCAATGGATAATGATCTCGTGGAGGGTGTATGATAAAGACACGAACTGCTTCCAGTTGATATCATTGTAGATCATATTCGGGGTGCGGTCCCACAAAGAGGGAGGCGAGGGACCGGCCCATCTGATTGGTCTCGGACTCTGTTCCCGAATGGAGGCTGATTGGGCGAAAGGCGCGATGAGATATACTCCGTACACCGTCTGGAACATGTACCTATGCCCCTAGCCCACTTACTGAATTTCGACTAGTCCATGCAGCGGATGCGCGTAACGTGTGTCTCGACCGTTGACGTAGCCTGGAAATATACAATGCATTTGTTGCACATCTTGGCCCATACCTGCCCATCTTCAACACGTCCTCCTGTTGTCATTCATAATCAAAATCCCCCAGGTTCCATTAGGGTTGCGTTGTGCAAAGGACCCGGTCGAGGCAAAACATCCCTGAAAAGCTAATCATACCCAACGGAACATGCGCCGGATGTCTGGCCAATGGGCAAGCAGGCTGGGTTGTGACAGCCTAATCCTCGATTTCTCATACCAGCCCGAGATTTTCGCACTGGGGGGCCCGGTGGCTGCTCGGTAGCTCGGTGGGGCCGTGGCAAAAAGTCCAAGATCTCGATGGAGCAGACCAAAGCCCAGTGGAACAGGGGAAACGACAGGCCGCAGAGGCCGCGGGCCACAAGCATCGAATTGCCCTCTCCACCAAGCTCGACCCTTTCAGCAGGCCCTACCTTTGCAGGCCTCCTCCTTTCCTGTACGGTGTCCGGCGCAGCAGGTATTTCCACGTGGAGACGACGGACTGCATCCATAATCACTGTTCGACAACTACTGTAGTCCAGGAATAATTCACAACTCTTTTAAGCTGATATAACAAATATAAACGCAACAAGTAGGAGCGTAATTTTGATTCGTTGTGGTCAAAACCGGGCGCATAGGCGTCTTTTCAACCACCAGAAAGTCTACAGTTTGGAGCATAAACAGCTTCCTCTTTTCAAACACTCTTCAAGTTTCTTAGTGCGCCCCACACAGTGCTAAGTTTGTAAATTTAGCACTGTGTACACCCAGAGTTATGGACGAGTGACTTAGTTCATGCAGCTGTGTTCAAAACGCCTGCTACGTGATGTCATCAGACTTATGTAATAAGTCCTTGGAATATAATCACGAAAAGAACACTGTAGAATCTATTAGAGTAATCTGCTCCCCCAGGCCCAGCTTATGTCACGCTATGAGGAAAAATAATAAGGTTAATAGGAAGTAATGTTTGCAATTGCGCTCCTAAAGTTTTCCAGGATTACCCATACAGATTTGTGAACCAACATACATAGCCTTTAGTAGATCCGATACAGAGCATTGAGTCTTTGACAGCTGATACCGTTGGTCTGTATTCTGGAGGGAGCCAAATAATTCTCTTGTTGCCTCTGACAATCCAGGTCTTGTTATAGCTCAGGCCGATTCTGTCAATAACTAGCTGTGCTGTTGATTCCCTAGGGGTGGGTGCTTCACTCGCTAGAGAACCTGGGAGTAAGTCGATTATTCCAAAATCAGTAACCAGTTGTGTACTGGGTAATGGGTTAAACGTGAGACTTTGAGTAAAGCCCTCGAGCGTCTGCTTCTGGGCGCCCGTGGCCACGTCCCAGAGCCGGACCGTCTTGTCCCAAGACCCCGATGCCAGCGTCTGGCCGTCGGGCAAGAAGGCTACGTCATCAGACCCCGATGCCAGCGTCTGGCCGTCGGGCGAGAAGGCTACTGAGCTAACCCAGCGATCATGGCCCTCGAGCATCTGCTTCTGGGCGCCTGTGGCCACGTCCCAGAGCCGGACCGTCTCGTCATCAGACCCTGATGCCAGCGTCTGGCCGTCGGGCGAGAAGGCTACTGAGCTAACCCGGCCATCATGGCCCTCGAGCGTCTGCTTCTGGGCGCCCGTGGCCACGTCCCAGAGCCGGACCGTCTCGTCCCAAGACCCCGATGCCAGTGTCTGGCCGTCGGGCGAGAAGGCTACTGAGCTAACCTGGCGATCATGGCCCTCAAGCATCTGCTTCTGGGCGCCCGTGGCCACGTCCCAGAGCCGGACCGTCTTGTCATCAGACCCCGATGCCAGCGTCTGGCCGTCGGGCGAGAAGGCTACTGAGCTAACCCAGCCATCATGGCCCTCGAGTATCTGCTTCTGGGCGCCCGTGGCCACATCCCAGAGCCGGACCGTCTTGTCATAAGACCACGATGCTAGCATCTGGCCGTCGGGCGTGAAGGCTACGTCATCAGACCCCGATGCCAGCGTCTGGCCGTCGGGCGAGAAGGCTACTGAGCTAACCCGGCCATCATGGCCCTCGAGCATCTGCTTCTGGGCGCCCGTGGCCACGTCCCAGAGCCGGACCGTCTCGTCATCAGACCCTGATGCCAGCGTCTGGCCGTCGGGCGAGAAGGCTACTGAGCTAACCCGGCCATCATGGCCCTCGAGCGTCTGCTTCTGGGCGCCCGTGGCCACGTCCCAGAGCCGGACCGTGTCATCAGACCCTGATGCCAGCGTCTGGCCGTCGGGCGAGAAGGCTACTGAGCTAACCCAGCGATCATGGCCCTCGAGCATCTGCTTCTGGGCGCCCGTGGCCACGTCCCAGAGCCGGACCGTCTTGTCATCAGACCCCGATGCCAGCGTCTGGCCGTCGGGCGAGAAGGCTACTGAGAAAACCCAGCGATCATGGCCCTCGAGCATCTGCTTCTGGGCGCCCGTGGCCACGTCCCAGAGCCGGACCGTCTTGTCCCAAGACCCCGATGCCAGCGTCTGGCCGTCGGGCGAGAAGGCTACTGAGAAAACCAAGTGATCATGGCCCTCGAGCATCTGCTTCTGGGCGCCCGTGGCCACGTCCCAGAGCCGGACCGTCTTGTCATCAGACCCCGATGCCAGCGTCTGGCCGTCGGGCGAGAAGGCTACTGAGCGAACCCAGCCATCATGGCCCTCGAGCGTTTGCTGGTGTGAGTCCCAGTGAGACTTTACGCCTTGAACAGTAGAGAGGCTCGGCAGCCGTTGCTCCCAAAACCTTTGTCGTACTCGGCTTTGGACGGGAGAGAATAAAAGCAGAGTGCTGTATGTCTGGAGAGGCGCGTGTTCAATGATTGATCCAAAGCTCGAGATAATCCTAGAAGCATCCTTGAGGAAGTCACCCAGCTCTGAGTTCGTCTTGGGAAAGTGTC